AACACTAGTTGAATGATAATGTACTGAAGTACAGAATATCAAACACTTATCTCCAACTCCAATCTCCAGCAAATAATGACTAAAATACCAAAAAAATTCACTAGTGTCTAAGCAGCCTTGATAAGCAGTGGAATCACATGCTACTATGGACAGTTCGTGGCTTGTAGATGTGGAGGAAATAGCACCAACTGCCGACCTAAAGTGTAGAAGTTTAGGTTGCTCATGTAGCTACCCTACTTAGCCTTCACCACCAGTGATGGAAGGTGATGACTATGCAATGCACAATACAAAGTATACATGCATAGTATGAGAAAAACTATAATGGGTCACCAAATCTTAATGAAATCAAATTAAAAAATTATTGTAAATGATGAATTACAGTAAGGAAATAAAAATGATAAGGCTTAGAACATGAAAGAAAATGGATGAAGTGGTTAACTTGAAGGAGTAGAACTATACACTATGGGATTTGACATCACATCATGATCATGGCAAGGAGCGTCACCAAAGAAAAGGGAGGAGGCTCGGGAAAGCAATTCTCTCTCTCATTTCTATCTAATGGCTCATAAGTGTGTAGAAAATAGAGGTGAGCAAGGATATTTATAGTCTTGAGGTGGTGAAATATTTTGAGTGGGTTAATCATATCCCTTGATATTTTTCATCTATGGTACATGAGAGAGCTGCGATCCTAGTCATACATCCATGCATATCAATGGATGTCATTTGTACATCATATTACTCCATAAAACCTTAGATTATCTATTTTGCATTGTCTTTGTCCTATAAACTGTTTTCTTATAAATCATTTAATCATTCCATAATGGGTGTGGTTTCTATAAGGTTGCAACCTTAAACAATCCAATTAAGGTGCACCGTAAAATTTTATCATAACATGTAATTTTGTTGTAAAAAATTCTTAATATTATCTTAAAATCTATTTTCATACCAAATTAGAAAATTTTAATTTCTAAAATTAGTTAAAATTAAGTAGATCTATAAATATATGAAAATCTTGAAAATGGACGGTTTAGATAATGTGTTGCAAGATGCACTATTTTAGGGACTCAAAAACCTTTTTTTTCATCTTCATACATTTCGATGTCGAGATGATTGATTAGAGTGTTTTTTCAACATTAAAATAACATTTCCAATAGATTTTTGTGGTGCACCTGTGATTCTACATTTTAAGGTTGCAACCTTATATAAACTTTTCCCTTTCATAATTGACCATGAAACTTTACAAAAAGAATAAAACATCACAAGGGTAAGGGCATGCTCTTATGATAATTTAGAAAAGCTATTTCAACTCGAATAATATCCCATAGATTGGTCAATCACAATGTGTCACTCCATAAACTTCACAAGAGCTTAGCCAATGAGATAATGTCACACAAAAAGACACTTTAAGTTTCATTTTCTCTCATAGATTAGAGTCTAAGCCAAAATATCATGTCTAGCCTTTACACTTGACACATGTTATCCAATTCACATATGCATCAAATTCCCGTATGACAAAATAATTTGACTTAAATTATAAAAAAAAAAATGTATACAACTTAAGTGAACAAATAATATAATTTCAAAAATGAGACTCCCACTTGTGATGATGTCATCAGCATGAGGATGACATTGGGAGCCACGTGGACCACCCTATGGCCACTTGGGTGGCATAAGGACCGCGCCCACAATTTTTTCTTTCTTGGAATCACCCCCAAATATTTTAAAAAACCATATTTTGGCTCTGAAAATATTCCAAAAGAAATTTCAAAAATTTCAAAAGAAATTTCAAATATTCCAAAAGCAATTCAAATGATTTTCACCATAAAAATTATTTTCTCATCATAATAAAATAGGTCTTAGATCTAGGCATTGGAGTACTTCATTAGGCTAATCCTGAATGGTAGTCAACTTTATCTCGAGATGACCCAATGGTCCTATATTCCACAGTCTATAGCAGAGACACATAATTTGAAATCATCAAAGTCAACCCAATCAAGTTCTCCATCACCCAGTTCTCAATATATTACAAGTGTACCCCTGTGGGATGTAAATGCTTATATACAGGGGGTCATCTCAAGGCACATATGTACTAGCTCTTCTTAGTTGGATCAAACCTTTGGAGAGTGGATTCTCATACGACTACAAGTGCACATCTTGTAAAGTGGTATCATGTTAAGGTACAAACTCATGTCTCATAAGTCATGATCACCCCATACAGGGCCAATACTAAAAAATTAATCAGGTTATTTTGTACTCTTTTGTGTATTCTAGCCTCGGCCAATCACACCGACATGAGGCATACTTATTAACATAGCCCTGACTCAGAGATAACACTCATACCTCCCTGATAGATTTCTATCTTAAATCATAAAACACTCATTGCCTTATATACTCGAAATATTTGAATCTGAGCTCCAGTGTGCCAAGCACCTAGATTCAATTCTTACTCACTCTTACTGAGTGAGAGAATCTTAGCTTCAAAGCCTTGAAAAGCCATAAATCCAACATAACAGTCCACTGCTACAATGCCTCTCATCTCCCTCCAATCCTTGTGTCAACTTCCTTTTCCCATCCTAAAACAATAGGCACGTGCGATACGTTTTATTAGCATGTGATCAAAAAGTAAAAATAGATATATTAAAATACTAAAGTAAGGAAAAATTACAAATAAGCCCCCAAGAATAGACTTCCTATGCGACTTACCCCCACCTTTTACCCCAAAATGTACTTTCTTAGCAAATACCCCCAAGTAAAAAAAGACACATTTTTTTGACAAAAATGCTCTTTTTGTACATAAATAATTAATTTTGGACGGACATTCACGTGGGCTTACATAGGCTGTCGGACCACTCTTTGACATTGCTAGACCACACTTTGGGCCTGTTGCAGGACCGTATGGGCCTATTGACAGACTGTTCTTTGTTAGTGCCAGACCACTCTGGGATATTGCCGGACCGCTTGTTTATGCTACCAGACTACCTTTTCGTGTGTTATGGGAAAATTTAAGTAGTTGGTATTAGAACAGAGAAAGGGAATTTTGGTCCTAAAAAATGTAACTTTTGACTAGGCGGTATTGGCTAGAAATATTTCTTTTGGGGTAAATGTTGTGACAAAAAATTTGGTTGGGGGTAGGTTGTAAAGAAAATCGGGTCAAGGGGGTTTTTGTAATTTTCCTAAAAAATAATTGGAGACAAGTTTCCAAAATTAGCTCCCACAAACATGGGAGAACTTTTACATAGACATACATCCAAAATATGTATGCTTGGATAGAAATAATATATTTATTAAAAAAATATTTTATTTTTTTAATTGATTTCTTATTAGACATTTCTAATTTAATGAGTAATACAAAATATTTATCTTAGAAAGCGATGGCGATTGAATTGAATTTAGAAGCAGGCTACCTAAACTCCCACTGTTTAGGACACTATCGATGGATATGGTACAATAAGGTCTCTCTGCATGAAGTCATACTCAAGTTGAATGCGATGTTCTCCTACCTTTGAAATGGGGCTTAATAAAGTTGAACACGGAGGATAAATAATTGTAGAAATTTATTCCTCAGATTGCCCAAGGTATTTTTAAAGTTACCAAGCAATCCCACATTGTGTGTGTGCCTATTTTGCACGTGATTCGATGCTTGTTTACCAAATGTAAAGGGATATCGGTGTTGTTCGATTACTCGGGACAACAAAAAATAAAAAATTTAATAAATTTATTTCTACTATCTTTTTTTTTTTTTTATCGTTTTGACACGGATTGGAAAATGTTTTGACCATGAATACATATCTATACATTTTCCATTTGTTTTGGATTATTTCTAAAAAAACCATCGCAAATTGATTTTTTTTCAAAGTCCATTTTTTCCCAAGTTTTTTAACCTCATTTAGATGTCTTTTGTTTGATTTCTTTTTAAACATATTTTTTCTGTTTTAGGGTTTTTTATTTTTTATAATACTTTTTCCTTCGCCAAAACTCGGCCCAAGTTACTTGGACTTGGGCTGAGAACTTGGTTCGGGCATAGGCTGAGTACTCGCCCTAGTTGATATCTCCAACATTAAGGATACCATACATACCACAACTGTATGGTACATGGTACAATGTAGGGACATCCACCATTCATTCTCGATGATGGATGGTGGAATCTAACTATAACAGGGTGACCGCACTTTAGGAGATAATCTGCACTGTATTCATGTAGGGAATTAACAGTGATGCGCCTGTGTAGTACCATATAGCATAGATCTCAGGTCTCTGTCATACCTTCCCTAAAATAAATAGATATTATTAATTATTTCTTGTAGTTGTAAAAAAGCTTTCCTATGTATGGAAGGTCCAGATCTGTGAACAGATGGTCTCATGTGCAAAAATGTCACCATTCATCTCTACTTGTCCAAAAAATCACCAAAAGGCTCCCTACTTTTTTATATTAAGAGCAGCACTATTGTTCTGCACTGGGAACAAACTTAGAACCCGAATTCATGGAGTTTTTGGCCTTTTTGGCTCTCTGTTTATTTACATCTCCAACAAATCATGAAAAGACTTCAGCTTCTTTCCAATTCTTCTTTATTGTTTTCTGTCACTGTTATAACTTCCATTTCCGTTTTTCGCTGGGAACAGCTCCATTTGAATTAAGAGAAATTTACAATTCTTTCATTTTCTCATCCTGTTTCATACTGCATCTGACAAAACGAAGTGACATAGAAATCAGTCAGAAAACTTGATCTCACAAAACCCCAATATTTTGACTTGCGTTTAGCTGTATCTGTGAGAGAGATTTTGATTTTTGTGCTTATTTGTGTATCAGACTTGTGTCAGTGCGTATCTAGGAGAGTTATTTTGACTTGTTTTGTGTATCAGACTTGTGTCGGTGCGTATCTAGGAGAGTTATTTTGACTTGCTTCTTTGTGTTTCAGGGAGAGAGGGATTTTCCCCATTAATTGGGGTCGGCTAGACGAATCCTAGTCTACCGTTCTGCTCTATTAAAAGCTATACGCAAATTGCACTAATAACCAATTTAGAAAAAAAAATTGGTTAGGAATAGTATCACTCCTATACAATTGAAATAATGAATTACGAATAGTAATTTCTCCAATTCATATGAAAAATTCTTATAAATCTATCCTTCCTCGACCTCCACAAATGCTACAAGAACGTGCAGAAGAGCACTTGGAGCAGTAACTCCATTTCTTTGGAAGCCTGTTGAAAAAACGAATAGTCATTTGAATTTTAACAGCCATCACAATGAGAAAAGGAAAAGCACAAAATAATCCAATATGGATAACTTAGTCACAGGATCATCACTGTCAACGGAAATGAGGGAAGGTGACAGAGAAATCAGGTCCCACCACCACCTTCATCATCAGATTGTAATACCTGAATGGACTATGGAGTTACCATAGTCCATTGGATTACAGTATATTTTCCCAATAGAAATCCATGAATTTATCATGAAAACTACCCGGCTGTGTAACGAGTGGCCATATTCTTTGCACTGAGTCTTGCTTTATCAGCACTCTCCTCTGAGAGCTTCTTCAGTAGGAATCCCTCCCCATTACATTCGGCACAAATACCAGATCCATTGCATGCTTCACATTCTTTGGAAGGCTTCTATCAAATGAAGAGTTATCGCATCAGAAGTAAAAGGTGTAGATAGAGAGAGATGCCATTTGTAGACATTTATGCCTGAACTACATTACATACTTCATTGGGCTGAGAAGCTTTTGTTGTCTGAGCCAGAAGAGTTGCTGCTGCCCCCACAGCTGCAGCTGCTGCAATGACAACTGGAACAGCATTCTGGGGTAATGCTGAGAAAATATATTTCTTTCTCACCTTTACTGCTATATGTCTTTTAGATGATGGAGCTCCAAACTTCATATCACTAGCAACTTGGACTTTGGAAGTGGAATTCCTGATAGCTTCAAAGCACAAAGAACCACATCAGTGTGCAGTCAAATATTTGAAAGCCCAACTCGGGTTTATTACCGATGGTACACAAAATTAGTTGTGCTCATAAGGCATTGATTTTCATCTAGGATTGTTTATAACTTAACATAATTCAGATAGAAAAACTAAATGTGCTTAGTAGACTGAGGGACGAACTATTATAAGGTAATATGGATGTGAATAATGATCACAAACAAGGAAATGAGAGAAGTTAACCAAATGGTGAATTCCCCATTAATACATATTGCCATAAAATATTACTTTGGCACAACAAACAAACCATAGTTGCCCCAATGGGAAAATGAGTATGGGTACATTTTGAGAGACATGCTTGTAAGCACAGGAAAATAAGAATGCTTTGGGTAATTGGAAACTATTAGAAAACCATCAAAAACTTACGATGGGGAAATACAACAATAGTATAGAGGAAAGCGCATGAGACTGCTGCCCTTAATATGCATAAGAAACATAGGAAAAACAATGAAAGTGCACGGTAAATCTTGATGAGAAGATGACATATTTGCGCCTTAGCTCATGAATTCAGCTTCTGAAACCAACTCTTCAATTTATTGATAGAAACAAACAAAATATTTTCTCAATTTCTCCTCTCCTATGTTTCGTCAAATATATTTCAGGTCCCCAATTTCATTCTGATGTTGAAATTCCTAAGATTAGAAACTGCACGGAAAATTCTTCGTGGAAAGCTATTATAAGAAACAGGAAACTGAGAGCCGAAAGATTTGAATATGGAGTAGGCTGACTTGAGAATATTTCATCTATCACAACAAATGCAAGGAAAGAGATTGTTGAGTTCCAGGTGGATTCAATAGACGACAGCTCATTTAATAAGTATAAACCTACATTTTAGTCTGAATGATACAGCTTGCTAGACAAGAGCAGAAGAATTACAGGTACTCGAAGACTTAGTATTTCAATCCAAAATAGAAAGTATGAAGAGAATTGAGAGTAATTAAAGCTTAGAATTTTAAAAATTGGATCAAATAAAACAGGATTAACATATGCAATCACCACAATACTAGAAAACTTTAATAATTAGAAATTAAGATTAATCTTGTTTACCAATGTAGAAATGAAATAAATACTAAAACGATTTTAGGAATACTGCAGCCTCATTTTGATGGCTTGACAATTCTAGAAAGGAAAGGAATTTGTTTATGAATAGGGGAAAAACATGTACTTTTTGTTGTAAGTTTATGAACTTTCTAGTGGTATTTGTCAATAAGTGGAGTTATAAAAGGGAGGGCATCGTGAATGGTGGAGTGGACAAAGCTGGGCCCTTCTTCACTCTTATGCTAATAGAGACTACAAATAGTCCGCTCCCCGGAATTTACACCGTCTAAATGTAGCACAAGTGCTTTTTCACAATGCCTCAGGAACTCTTAGTTTGTGGCAAATGCCTAGGAAATGCTATACAAAACAAAAAAGTCTATATAAATGGATGGTCATTGGACTCCATCAAGACATTAACCAGTCACATCTGCTTCTTACATAATTCAAATTATTTGAGGAACTCAAGACCTATTGTTGGAGGTGAAACCTAACTGGAATATTATTAGTCGCTCTTACCACCTAAATTTACTCTAAACATTAGCTCTTCTATCAATAAACTAGCACCAAGGAACTATAGGAAACGCAACATTGCGACAGTACACTGTAGAAACTATTGAAATATGTCCCCGAGTCTGTAAATTGCTTGACTTTCCAAAGGACTGGAGAAATTTACAGGATTCCACTGGAAACTTCATACATTGGCATTTTCCCTCAAAGAGTGCAATTCTATATTGTTGGATGTATAATCTAGCCCCTGGGTATATACTTTCTAGAGTTTTATTCAAAAGGGCTAATACATCAATACAAGTACATAAAAGAGGAACTGATACAACCTCTGAAGATTCACTTTTACAGCTCGAAAGAAAGAAGAGAAACACCTTCTCGTAGCCCCCACAAACTCTCCCTTCAACTAGATAAGTGAAGGAAGTATTACAATAAGACGAAATGTGCTAATATAAAATTCAGCACAAATACAATTTCTCTTACATTAACATATAATATCAAACACATCAAAATTAAATCCAATTCCTTCACTTTATATGACTGATATGAACTGATTACAACTCAATCTTGAAAAAATTAACCATAGGGAGCCAAATCAAGAACACGCTTTCTTGAAGTAACACCCCGGGTCTAATACGCTTCAAGTCCGATCTCCGCCTTCAATAGTGTGGGGTTCCCAGACTCTCATCACTCCTCGACTATGGGAAGCCAACCAAGAAAGCAATCTTACACAATAATCACTTTAGAATGCTTAGAACGATCATACAAAATGTAATGGAGATCTAGTACTGACATGACAATGGTGACCAATTAGAGCATGGTGTGTGCACTATATAGAAGTGCATAGTGTAGGCTTGCAAAATTAGCTATTAATATCATAAAATTCAAACTCGATCTTGCTGTAACTGATGTTAAAAAACAGGCCACAAGATAATGGAAATTAAGGCACACAAATACGTGGAGTGAGGTTTAGATTCAAAAGGTAGACTGTGGTATAGTAGGGACTATAAAATGGCATGGTATAGTCTACAGAATTAAGCCACTAAAATCAAAGGGATGATAATACCTTGCTGTAAATTTGGAATAAGGTCATGTTTACAACAACATTGAAGGTCCTTGGTGCTCCATTAATGGTAGAAAGAGGATTGGTTGAAGTTGATCTCAATGGGTTGAAAGGGAAGCAGAAGGGATATATGGTAGTCTCAATCACTCAAAGGCTATGGACCATGGAAGTCAAGCCCACGAAGATTGAACGCTCATTCTCTCTCCCTCTAGGGTTGCATGCCACTCTTTCTAAGGTCTCGTTTTGTCTGGTTGGGCAGTGAAGTTATTAAATTGGGGTTGGGGAGGATGGGATTGAAGTGCCAGTGTGTAGAAGCTTCTTGGGAGGACGAATGATGGCCTTGATAATGGAGAAAAATAGGTTGGGCCCATGATAATGGAGACAAATAGAGTGAAAGAAGCTTGGATCTATGCCCTCCATCCTTGTCTAGGTATCATACATCAAGGGCAGAAAATTCACACCATTATCCCCTAGTTTTCAAACTCAAATTTGCTTCCCAAATTTGAATTCAAGTCCCCCATCAAAATATAGCACAAATTTTGAAAATTCATTTTTAAATCAAATTCAAATTTTCCAAATTACTTTCATTGCTATCAAAGGGGAGATTTTGTCTCTCTCCAGTTTAACTAACTTGCACATGGGAAAAATGAGAGCATGACAAGTGTCATGCAAGTCGGCTTTTTAATTTTCCATTAGCCCCAGGGTTTCAATTGAAATATCAAACCCCATGCTCCTTATAGAAAACTAGAAAATTAGCCCATTTGCATTTTACATTCTCCTCCCATGTGCACCCATGTGCATAATTGTATTAGAAATAACATATATGAGCCCCAATCAAACCACTTGTGGGAGCCTCCCATGAAGATGACCTCAATGCCAAGAACTCACCCTGACGTTATCCTCAATTACGGTGGCCCGGGTCCACATGCGGGTCCATTTGTGGTCATGTGTGGCCCATTCGCCATTTGGGTCACACATGTGCCAATGGTCCTCCTTTAAATGGAATTTTAGAAAAAAAACGTTTCCAATCAATTTTAGGCAAAAATATATAAAATTCTTAAAAATATTTTTAATTTTCATCTTATTTTGCCAAAAATAAGTTTGTTTAGGCTTCCTACAAAATATTGAAGGAAATCAGGTACCTTCAGAGTTTGAATCCATAAAACCAAGGCACTTCAATGGGATCACCCTAGAACCCTCAACCATTTTCTCAAATCAAGCCCTTCAAAGTTTGAATCCATAAAACTAAGGCACTCCAATGGGCTCACCACAGAACCCTCAACTACTTTCTCAAATCAACCTAACAGAACCCATGACCTATAGTCTTCTCCAAGGGGCTCATACTTGGTCTATAAAAGCCGACTAATTAATTATGGAATTTCAGGCTCTTGATGGATTGCAGGTGGATCCCAAAGAGCAAGTATACTAAGCACCTCAAACCATGGTGCCGAAGTCCTCTCTTAGCACATGTCCACATTCCTAATCCGATAGATCACCTGGAAGGGCAGCTTCCCATATATGCGGCTGTTATATGCATAATGCGGTGGGTTGGTCATAGGTAAGTCGAGGCTTTGGCCATTGCCTCAAAAGCCACCAAAGCATGCGGGATATCCTTTCCTCTGCTTCATATCTCATCAAGATATCCTCTCTCTCTCGATATTTTACGGGCACCCTTGTGCACCAAGATAAGGCCCTAGTGAATTCTAGGTTAGCAACGACCTCAACTATGGAATAACCCCCAACCCTTATGGTGCCCTCCTAGGCCCATGAACCAAAACCCGTAGTTAGGATTTTGTTTAAGACACCACTTCGAAGACCCAAACCGCTTGGGCCGGTGAGTCACTGGGTACCAATGGGGTCCTACAGTCCCACTAGAGTTAGTATCCACCCTAAAAAAACATGAGTTACATGGTTCGAGACCTTGAAAGGGCACATAAATCCAACGTATATCGTATTAATTTGCCCTTGTATTGCGCCAAAAAGCATCAAATTACCTTCTAAAGAGAAGGAATCTTCAAGAGGATTACTTTGTCTATTGTCGATGACCAGGAACCATGCCAGATCAAAAATAAATATGATAATATATTCCAAATTATAAATGAGGGTGTTTACATGGTTTTGTATTGTTGCATTGCGTAAGACTTTAATTGCAATGAGATTTAAGTATTTGACCATATTACCATAAAAATATTGTAAATTAAGCAATGAACTTCGATTACGGTTAAAAAATGATCAACATGACCTAAAGGCCAAAGATTGACGATAATCCAGTCGTTTGGGGTGATTTTGAATTGCCAGACATGACTGTTTGTCATATATTTTCATGAATATATGACAAACAGTCACAGGATCAAGGCAAGAACCCTTACAATGAAGTCAAGCACGATCAAAAAGAGAAAGATGATGTTATAACTCATATGGTGACAACCATTTGTTTAAGGTGTTTTTGATTCACTTTAGACATCAATAGTCTTAACTGCAGTCAAAACATAGGGCATGGCTTCAAGTGACTGAACAATCATGAAATCACAGTAAATAGCTCTGCAATAAGGTCAAACATGATAAAAAAGATAGCTTGCGATAAACCATACATCTGAGGATGATTTTAATCTCGTCTAGGAAGCTCAATGCACAACCCAGATCAAAATGTGGAAGCGATATTCATGTGAACTGATAATCACCTATAAAGAGCAAATAAATTAAGATAATTCCAAATATGATAAAAAAAAGTCCAAAATCATTTTAGCATTCGAATCCTGATTACAAACTATAGTTACCCGAATTACATATCAAGGTCACGAATCCACATTTCCCATGATGAAACACGAATTTGGAAGATAGGAATCACGTTTCCCAATTTCATGGAATGTGTTCCAGATTATTACCTGAATCTCAATTCCTGTAAGGTTGGAATCTAGATTCCACATCACAGAACATGTGGTTCATAGTTGCATAACAGTGCGATTCATTGCGTGCGAGACGTTGATTCCAATTTTTTAGAAAATACGAATCTATGTTGTTTGGAAGAGAGTTCCACATCATCAAAAGGCACAGTTCTTAGATGCTCCGAACAATATTTCGATCAACATCAAATCAAGTTCTAGCGACATAGAATCAAAATTCGAATGCAAATGTTGAATGAAATATGTTCAAAAATTGTATGTTGCTGGAGGAGCTCCAGTAACTGATACTATATTACTGGAGAAGTTCCACGAACCCTTTGTATCATGTTACAATTTTGTACAAGGTTAAATATCCATGATTTGGGTTTTAAGATTGTGACGTTGTGAGAGCCAAAAAGCTTTAATAAATATTCAAGATGAATCCATGTATAATAATCTTTGCCAAGTTACCCAAAAGATTTATCAATCCATAAATCACGAAGTGGGTGGCTATCCCACCTCATGGTAAGAGGTTCGGGTGGCAGCCCCAACTCAATGTAAGACATTCATATAGGATGCATCTAATAACCAAATTCTTATTATTGATAATTTACTGTACCAAGTAAAGGATTATGTGGGGCATGTTTGGTGGGTGATCAATAAAATTCTTATTAATGATCATCTATGGTACTATGTAAAATGCTTTTCACTTGTTGTCCCATTGTATATTTGGAGGGACATAGACTTAAACCGCTAAAAAGAAAAAAAAGAAAAAAAAAAAAGAGAAATGGGTTAACGGTGATCGAAATTCATGGGCACTTGTGGACATTAGATTTTGAGGAAAATACAACATCTTGGTCTTTCAAGCAGATACCAAGTATCTGCTTGGTTTTACATAGATAATTTGAGTCAAGATATGGTATCATCCATGTCTATCCCCAAAGATATATGTAAACCTTTAGATCTTTCCTCACAAAATACTTCTCTACTATACCGGAGGGGATGGGTGCACGATTCTTGAATTGTAAGAATCTTAATTCCCAATTAATAGGGATAATGATTCCAGTAACGTAGGAATTACAATTCCTATTTCGTCGGATTGCGATTCCGGAAGTCATTGATATGTGTGGGGTCATGTACGATTCCTGAAAGTAGGAGACTCGATTCCGACATGATGGGATATCGACTCCTACAAATAAGAATCAAGGTTCCTATTTTATTGGATCGCGATTTTGATTTTTGGAAATCATGCCTCTGATGGTTTTTATTGTATGGACGATGATGCCAAGATGATTCTATCATCTGGCACATGCGATTCCGCAATTCCAATCCTGAAACGAATCGAAATCACATGCGTTTCCAACAACTATATTACAAACTAGAATTTTGGATTGAAATTAGAGTATTTGTGGCTAGAAAAGGCTTAACCACAATCAAACCAAAGACTCACCTCAAAATTTGAAATCCTAGGCCAATTTTTGATAAAATTGAGTCCAACCTACCAAAATTCGCTAGAGGAACTTTTGTCATATAATGACAACTTTATTAAACTAGAAGGTATGAAATGATTCACAATTGGGGCCTCAAGAGTTTAAACACATATTATAACCGTTTACGACATATGTCATACGAGAATCGGCCCACATGTCTTCAGCAATTGTCCTAGTCGTATGACATTAAACTGCATGGCATATTGTCTTAATCACATGAAGTTAAATTGAGCAGTATATTGTACTTATTACAAAATGTTAACTGAGTAGTGCATTGCATTTATTGCATGACATTGAATTGCACAATATATTGGTCCTAAATTCCTAATTCATCATCATCATCCCAACCTTATCCCAATTATTTGGGTCGGTTACGCAAATTCGGATCTTCCATTTTACTCAATCAAGGTGACACCTTCAATCAGACCATAAGTCACCATATCTTTTCTCCTAACTAGTGTTGTTTTAGGTCTATGTTGTACATGGATCCGCCTCGTCCGGGTCCCTCAGGGACCTGGGACCAATAGAACCCCTCTCGAACAACCGCGTGACCTGACGTGGATCGCTTGCACGGCTCACGCGTCACTTTGCGGATAGGTATGTCCAACTGTGAGAGGATTTTAAAAGCGATGAAGAGATGGACTGAAGCACCTACCTCACCGCGGTTTGAGTTCGTGGGATAAGCCCGGGCTAATGCCCTCTTAGATCAGCACGCGAAAGCCCTTCGGCTGTCCAGCAGCTCGGTTTGGACATAGCCCCCTCTCGAAAACTCAACACCTCACCTCGGAATCTCACTTAGGAATTGTTAATTGGGTTCGTATAGAGTATGCTCCTCTTTGGTGTACCTCTTGATGAATGAGTGGTTCTACTTTGTGTGTCGAATGGTTTGACGAAGAGAGAAAGAAGGAAGAAAGAATGAGAGAGAAATAAACCCCTCACAACCCTAGCATTATGTGACCGGGTGGTTAGAGCAGTGAGAGGGTCAAGATTCTAAGAAAGCTGGCTCAGGATGACCGCAATCCGAGTAACTGGGTGCAAGATAATCAATGCCTCTTATGACCCGAGTTCACTGTACGAGAGGGTGGTTAGAGTAGAAATCCCAGAATTAAGACCCTAAGACACTATCTCAGGATAACCCCGAGTCGAGTGTTTAGGCAATACGGGAAGCAACCAATAAAGAGAAGAGATAAGAAGATGATAAAAATAAAAATAAAATGACATAAATGAGCAGTTAAAGGAGTATGGTTTAAAGAAGAGAAGAAGAAATGTATGGGTGTGAATGTAAGGAATAGGGAGCAATTAGAGACAGAGGAATTAAGGGTGGATAGAGGTTGGTGTGCGTTAGGGACATACGAGGGCATGCAAGGGCTAAGGTAAATGAAGGCGCAGGAAAGAGCCAAGACGTGATAGCGCGGGTTAAGGTCGAATGGAGTGATGACGCGAATGGAGACCAAGAATGAGCAAGGCGAGGGTATGAGGGCGCGCGCAGGGTTAGGCGCAGCTAGGTGAGAGAGAAAAATGGAAGAAGGCGCGGGTAGGGATGAGCGGTGGATTAGGCGCAGGCACAGGAGAGAGGTGGATTCGGCGCGGGCGGATGTTGTCGGGTTGGACACAGAAAGGAATGTAGGATTAGACACGGGCAAAGGATTCTGGATTGGGAGCGGGTGGAAGAAGGTTAGCAGAAGTCGCTAGGTTAGGCGCGGGTAGAGGTTGTCGGGTTAGGCACGGGTAGGAGTGCAGGATTAGGCGTGAGCAAAGGATTCTGGATTAGGCGCAGGCAAAGGATTGCAAGGTTGGGCGGGGGCAGGAGGTTGTCAGTTTAGACACAAGCAGGAGGTTGCCAGGTTAGGCGCGGGTAGGAAATTGCCAGGTTGGGCGCAAGTAGGAGGTTATAATGAGAGGAAGAGAGTAAGACGAGAGAGGTAGGGAAGGGAAGCAGGGCCCGCCCTAGGTGTGAGTATGTGACTTCGAACGAGAGAGAGTGAGGGAAGGAGAAGAGGAGAAAAGGGGCAAAGAAGGGAGGTGCTCGGGCCCTCCCTGAGCTTGAGCAGGGAAGAGAGAGAATGAGATATGAGAAAGAAGAGAGAGAATGAAGAAAAAAGAGAGAGAATGAAGGGAGTTAGAGGAGAGAGAATAGACCTAAGATGAGCTTGACCCATTGGTCCCTTTGCATGCACATGAGAGAGAAGGGTCTTGGGTTTGGTGGGTAAGGTTAGGGTCTAGGTGTGGTATAGGGAATAGGCTATGGTGTATGATGGTCTAGGGTTTATGGTGTAAGGTAAGATGTAGGGAATGGGCGTCGGTGTATGGTGGTCTAGGGGTATTTTCTCTCTCTAAAAAATGTTTTTCTCTCCTCTCCTCTTGAACCCTGGACTTGTAACTACAAGAAAAGAATAATCAAAAAGCTCACTTCAAAATGCTTCAATATTCAAGCTCTAAGCAAGAGTTCAAGCGTTCTATTACAAGATGCTTGAGTGTTACAAAAATCAAGGACCTCATACAAATGACTTGGGTTTCCTTATATAGAGCAACCACTATACAAGGGTAGAATGCTCAAAAGTACCCACAATTATCAAAAAAAGTACATATTTAATGAATTAAAATAATAATCCCGTATTTGGATCTAATGACCAAAATACCCCTAAGCACTTTTTAACAAATGACAAAACCATCCCTCCATGAGGGGCCTCTTGCCATTGCTATTCTTCGGGAGCTTTTTCAAACATCTATGATAGTAATTCAGGCGATCAAGCATCGTAGAATCGATGCTTGAACTTTTGTGAACGTTTTGATACCCTTTGATCGTCATGAAACGGATTTTTTAGGAAGAGCTCAAAATTCGGCCAACTCCATAAACTTTGCAATTCTTCAACCATCAATGTGACGTGATTTATGATGTTCCAAGTCTTCATTTTTATCACAAATCGAAGAGGACACTGTCACAACCATTTTGCAGTAAATTTCCTCTGTTTTGGTCTCCATTTGAGCATATTCCAAGTTTGGTAAGTCGCTGGAAAATGGGATTCCGACGACTAGAAAAGTGTGTCACTTGCAACCTCAAAATTTGTGTCATCCAGCTTTCAATCATACATAAAAATTGTACCAAATTGTAGCTCTTCAAAGCACGGTCGTACTCATGACGATCCAACACCGGGATCTTGAGCTATGAACTCTCCAAGAATCGGATGTTCTCTTGTATAAGATCTGAATTTTCATGCTTCTGAGCCCATCTTCTCTCTAGAAATTCTCTCGTTTCGAGCCACGCCATGACGCGTGCCTTATGTCAAAACGATCGGCTTGTCAAGATCT